TATATATATATATATATATATATACATACATACATACATACATACATACACACACACACACTTTACTTTCAGAGCTCAAATACTGATTGGCCAGGAGTCTGGGTAGGTCATGGAGCCATTCTGGATATGGTGGTGAACCTAATAATGCCAAGATTCTTGCCAAGAATAAACACACAGTGGGACACAATACCACAAAACTAGCACGTAGTCAGCAGACTGAGAGCCTGTTAAATATACTAACGTGATATATCAGAGTGAGCCCGACAATACTCGGCAACTTGAAGGTAAGCCTTGGCAACAGCTTGCTCTGAGCTGCATGTAGGAGTAACCAACTCAGCAGACCTCTTCAGACTTCCCAGACCATGCTGCTTCAGGTGATGCTTGAGTTGATCTTCGCTGAAATATATAGTGCATATAATTTTACATGTGTCTTCCACCTACTTGAATGTTAGCAGAAAAGCAAACTTTCAGACAAAATAAATGATCATCATATCAACAGAGAACAATTTACCAACAAAGAGAAATCTGTATCTTTGAAATCTTAATAAATGCAGGATGGTGCCAGAAGCTGTATGCCATTAAGATCATGATAGTTTTTGAGAGGGTCACTTCTGTTTAAAAAAGGTATGCGTTCTGTATTTATCATGGTAGTCAACAGTTTGAACACACTTTTCAAATGTACTGATAATTTACTGCAGAAATTCTCATCCCAATCACTGTTTATAGATCATGATGAACTGCTTTTTATGCGCAAACACACTATAATGCATGCTGGTCCACTATGCTTTACCATAACTATTCAAGGTCAGCTACAGCTTAGCTCAGTTGACCAGCTAACAAATTACCAAACTTCTTTGTACATTTTCTGTCAAACAAGTCCCATACAAGCTGACATATTTATTCCCATAAATTTATTCATGTGCAGTGAGTTATGGGTGGGAATTACATAAGTGCTGCAATAGTGGACTCCATACAAGGGACGGTTTTAATATGTGGTTGATTACAAGTAAACGAGGTTGTGTATGTATCACATCTTTAAATTCTTAGTTCATATATTGTTTAAAGACATCAACATTGCTATTTTCAAAATGCCAAAAGACTAATGTTGTCTAAACAAAATTAATACCGTAGTGCCATCATATGTAATTAAAAGTTAGAAGTCAGATTTGAATAGTATGTATTTCAACCATTTTCAGATGTGTACACATTAGAATAAGCAATTTTCTGAATTTTATAAGTTCTTGTTATTATGAAAGTTACGCTAAATTTCAATTATAATGTAACATAAATTTATATTTGACAGAATCAGAGCAGATTATGAAGAGGAAAAACAAATGTTACTGTGTATACTGATTATTCTGTCCCAGTATAGCACATGTCTATGGAAATAAGTCTATGAAATATTATTTAGCAAAATAAGCAATGCTGACCTCACCTGACCAACTACCTTCAGACTACAGTTCAAGTGATAACCATTATGCATTGGCATTCATTGACAACAAATGGCAAACTGTACCTGCAGTCTGGTGCTCTAATTCTGTCAGCTAGTTTTTTTACATCATCTGCTGGAAGATGCGCCAGAACACTCGGTTGCTGTTCAAGTAGCTGTAATATCCCTGTTGCCAGTACAGAAACATGCTGCAGAATGTCCACATGCAACATAGGATATTGTTCAAGTCTCTGATCTTCTACAAGTGGATCTGAAAAACACAGGTATTTGGGACATAGATCCTATTCGTAGGTTCCACTGTACGTATGTAGACATCCACAGAAGTAAATTTCCCAAAGCCAGGATCCTTGATAGTTAAGATATGTCCTTTCTTAA